TTTAAATATAAATTCTAAATTATTCTAGCAAAAACTTAATTGCTTACCTTTTAGCGTTTTCTTTCCTTTTCGTCCGTATTCTGCTGCGTTCGTGACACTGTGTGCTTAAACTGTTCTATATGACGACGCTAACCCCGCAGCTAGTGTGTATTGGAAATCTTCTCTGTTTTAGACGCGCAAAAGAGTTCCAAACACAAACTCAAAAGAGCTCCAGACACTGAAGAGTTCCAAACACAAAAGAGCTCCAAATACAAAAGCGTTATTTTGTAACCTTCAGCGATAACGTTCCAACTATAATAAACAAAAAGAACCAAATATAAAAATAAAATATACTATTATTGTTGCAAATGATCTTATCACATTATTATTCCCCTGAAAGCCGTTTGTAAAGTATCAGTTCTTAAAATCTTAAAAGAAATAAACATGGGATATCGTATTTCCTCTTTTCCAGGTTTAGGATTTGAGATTCATCTATTAATTAGATATAGTTTAAATTGAAATCTTCCGAATAATTATTACTTACTTATGTTTATAAGTTAAGTTATTATTTGTTTTGGGTCATCATTATATGATTAAATGTATTTCTTTTCATTCTCTTATTTTGATCAATTTTAAGTTATTTTAAACCAAACCATTTATTTAATGTAGATGTGCTTTAACCGCGTATTCTTAATTACACTATGTATGCAGTCAAGTTTTTGGCAGAAATTTTTAAAAAAAACTCAGTGCAAAAATAATGCAAGATAATGAGAGTATTCAGATACCAGCGCAATTTTCTACCATGGATTAAATCAAGGATTTTTTTTCCATAAAGGTGGGACCACAGTAAAAAAAACAATCCATTTAACCTGTATCAAATAAGAGTTAAAAAATCTAAGCTAACTATGAAGTATTCTGCCTACCTTTTCCACGTCTTCTCTCTCCGATGACTTTCTGTGAATGTCCAAGTCTGCGCGCGCTAAGTGTTGAGACGGCATTTCAAAAACCGGTTTTTGATGGCATCCAATACACAAAGCTAGCGATCGCTCTTTGATGTAACTGAGACTGTGAACGCTGTACGTGATGAGGTAATTAGAGGACGGGACTAGTTTTAAACCTGTCCTGTTGTTATGATTTCTCTTTTACAAAGACAATTTCCTGGCAAGCAAAATAAAAGTTGCAAAACGTGAAATTTCTATTTCAAAGCTGGAGGGAGATGGAGTAATTGGGAGAAATTTGATGATAAGCGAAAACACACACACACACACACGCACAAAGGTAAAAAAAATAGTAAGACGGGGGGGGGGGGGGGGGGGTGACAGATATTTGCTGACAAGTAATGAATTCTAATGCTTTAATATCTATTACTTCTGGTCATAAATTAAACTGGGTGTGCGTCACAAAAACAGTCTCCGTTTTTAGTCGGGGCGGTCAAAAGATCACTTTTTACTGGCTTTTTTATCAATAAAATATCTTTAAAAATTCAGGGGATGGGGGGGGGGGGGGGGGGGGGGGGGGGAGGTCGACCGACCACCGCACCCCCTCGAGATCTGCGCATGGAACATGATTAAATATTAGACATTTCAAAAAATTATGACCCAAATGAACAAAGTACGTTTCAATAATTTTATATTTCTAGACCTAAAGATTTTAACAAGTTTAAGAAAAATAACATCTTGTAAAATGATCAATATCCAAAGTATTAACTTTTCTTGTTAAGAAAAACCAGAAACAATATTTTATATCTTACTTAAAGATACCGGATTAGTTTAAGACCAGGTAAAGTTTTAGATACCAGGTAAGGTTTAAGATACCAGGTTAGGTTTAAGTAACCAGGTTAGGTTTAAGTTACCAGGTTAAGTTTTTGATACCAGGTTAGGTTTAAGATACCAGGTTAAGTTTTAGAAACCAGTTTAAGACAAAGGTAAGGTTTAAGATACCAGGTAAGGTTTAAGATACCAAGTAAGGTTTAAGATACCAAGTAAAGTTTAAGATACCAGGTTAGGTTTAAGTTACCAGATTAGGTTTCATAAATCAGGTAAAGTTTTCGATACCAGGTTAGGTTTAAGATACCAGGTTAGATTTAGAAAACTTGTTTAAGATTAAGGTAATTTTTTAGATACAAGGCTAGGTTTAAGATACCAGGTAAGGTTTAAGATACCAAGTTTAGTTTAAGATACCAATTTAAGTTTAAGATACCAGGTTAGGTTTGAGATACCACGTAAAGTTTAAGATACCGGTTAGGTTTAAGATCCCCGTTTATGTTTAAATTTACCAGGTTAGGTTTGAGATACCACGTAAGGTTTTAGATACCAGGTTAGGTTTAAAACAACAGGTTAGGTTTAAGATACCAGGTTAAGTTTAAGATACCAGGTTAGGTTTAAGAAACTAGTTTAAGATTATGGTAATGTTTAATATACAAGCTTAGGGTTTAAACACAATGTAAGGTTTAATATATCAAGTTAAGTTTAAGATACCAATAAAGGTTTAAGATACCAGGTTAGGTTTGAGATACAAGGTTAGGTTTAATTTAATTTACCAGGTTAGGTTTAATATACCAGGTTCGGTTTAAGATACCAGGTTCGGTTAAAGATACCTGGTTCGGTTTAAGATACTAGGTTAGGTTAAAGATACCAGGTTAAATTTAAGATACTAGGTTAGGTTAAAGATACCTGGTTAAGTTTAAGATACCGGGTTAAGGTTAGGTTTGAAGATAAAGGGTAAGGTTAAGGTTAAAGATTGATATCAAAGAAAGGTTTAAAAGTTAACGAAGGATTGGAAATTTAGATAAAATTTTATTTCCTGTTTCAGGGTGAAATATTGATATGGTAATTATCAAACAAATATTTGTGGCATTCTTCTTAAAGAATGGCCCGAGGCATTGAAAGGCCGATATTAGCAATGAATTTTTCTTTTGTATTTTCTTAAAGAAAAATAAAGAAAAAAGTATTTCTTTTCAAATTAGTTGTTTTCTACCTAAAAGATTGCCTGTAAATGAATGCGTCATATAAATGTCTAATAAAATATGCAAAGAAATGCTGCATAGACTTTTTTGTTAAATTTTATACCAATTATTTATGAATTGAAATTCATCACTTGTGGGATATTTTTAAAGCAATGGTTAAAAACACCATGACACTAGTCACAAAATGTTTTCCAATCATATTTTAAAGAGAAATTGAATTGAAATTGCAAAGATTTAGGGGAAAAATTATTTATTTTTAATTTGTTATTTAACCCGATAAAAATTACACCAACCCCATCAACATTTCAACATAATAACTACAAAACATGTTTATTGCCTTTTTCATGTATTTACTATGAAGGATATATTTGATTGCCAAGTTCATTTAAAAAAAACTTCTTTTATTCCGAATAAGACGAGTTTTTTTCGAGAAATGTTAATTGTATCTAAATAAATGTTCAATTCTGGTTGGGATCGATTTATTTTTCATCGCGATTGGCCAAACTTTAAAAAAAATATGTTTCTGTAAAATTTAAAACTTTCATGAGCATTTCTTATAAAATATGATTAACAAACATGTTCTTCTTCAGATGTGCCTAGTTTTAAGAATTTGAACAAAAGTACAAAAAAAAAATATTTGTTTTATTTTAATGATTTTTTTTCTATTTCTAAACATTTCAATTCGACTTTTCTCTCCATATTTTATTAGGTATCCATGTGATGCATTGATTAATAGCAAATATTAAGCAAGAAACATCTTACTTTCTTGTAATTTTTTTCCATTTTGTTAAAATAGGAAAATAATTCTATCAACTTATAAGGAGATAATTTTTCCTTTCAATGCAGAAACGATACCATAAATCAAAAATATTGAAACAAAGATCTATAAAATCAAAAACGTTGGGGATATTCTTCGGAATACTCCTTAAGCATTATCACAACCTTCACGTCAACTCCTTTGTTTCTTTTGGCTGATTTATCTTTAATTATAGTGTTGCAATCAAAAGTTAAAATAATTTTATATTCTCAACCTCATATGTAAAGTCGCCCTGGTGGTGAAATGTTAGAGGAGGATATGGAAATAAGGAGCAGTATTCAATCTTAAAGTCCATAAAACAATATAACAAAATAAGAGCAGAGGAAACACAGACCTCGAAAACATCAGAAGTGGGATCAGATTCCATGGAGGAGTGAGCATCCCCTGCCAAGCGGTCACACCCGCCGTGTGCTCGTTGTCATGATCAGGAAATAATGGAGGGGGAAATATGTCGTGCATTAGTGTATTAATAATGGACTAACAATTGCTATGAAAAACTTTAGTCAGCATTTGACTCAGAGCGTCTTCTCTATAAATCGTGAAGTGAGGTGTTGATCCTGAACTCGATAGTTCGAATCCAACTGTGGGACATGTACAGCGGTTCCTCTGTTGATACCGTATAAACCGAAGTCCCGTGTCGCAGTAGGTGCTTGCACGAAAAAGATCCTTCCCTGCTCAGTAGTCCTGAGTGTCGAGTATAGTACAGAATACACTGCTCTCTACCAGTAAATGGTGACATCTCCATATGAGTGGAAAATTTTCGAAAAATTCAATCAATCACTCACATATTTTACATTGTTCAGGAAGTTTTTGATTAAGTTTCTTTGAGGAAGAAAATCAACCCTATTCTGATAACTAGACCATCAGCTTTCATAGTATTTACCTAGAAACATCTTGCTAGATTTCAACATAATTTTTCCTCATTAAGGTTTTGAAAAACTGATCAAGTTCAATAATAAATCATTCCTTAACTAAATACACTGATTGCTCAAATTTATTTATTCAAAGTATGGAACTTTTGTCTTTACAAACAAACATCAACCTCCAGGTTTTTTTTTCTATATTCCAAATGAAATTTCTAACAAAATTAATAAAACAGTTTCTTTAATTTTCAATCAAAGCATCATGTTTAAGTCAAGATTTAACTTTATTTACAAAAAATGTCCAAAAACCGTCATGTTAAAACAAGCAATCAACCTCATTTTAATTGAAACCCATTTTTCCTGACGAAGCTATGTTTTCGTTTTCTTAACTTCTTCGCTTCGTTAAACATACGATATCGGTGTTTTCATCATTGACTTGAAGGGATTTCATCATCCTCCATACATATATTCTGTCTCACTGGGGTATCTGTAAAACATTTTAAATATTTTACCTAAGAGTTCTTATTCTCTTTTTATCTTTTCAGTTTAAAGGAGATATTAAGATAAATAAAAGTAGCTTAAAAACGTTTTTACATTCCACTTAGAAACCATTCATCAAGCATGGAAAACAGTCAATAACATTTTCGCTATGAATTTCAATTTAGTTCAATTTTTTTCTAAATCAATATCATTGCATCTAATACAAGAGGTTCGTGGGCCACATTGCTCACATTCGCACTGTGGCTAGCATGAAAGAAAATATTAGTTATTATTGAAAAGTCTAAACCATTATTTAAATGGGAGAAGGAATGATTTGCACAAACCTTGTTAAATTGTCTAAACTTCTTCCATATCAATATATGAAAGACCAATTACATCTTTGCTATTCTAGACAAAATATTTAAAGAATTTTATCATATATTTCTATGTTTAACTTTGGTCAGCTAGTGTGACCCTGCCCAACCACCGGTGGTTGAAACGAATTTGAATCTACACTTACTGAGAATGCTTCCCTAAAAATATGATCAATCGTGCCATTGCTAGTCTTTAGTTTTTAATACATTTTTCATACATATTTCAATGTGAAACTGCTCGGTCTTTGTGGACGCTGCCAAGCCCCGGGTGTCGTGTAATGATTTGAACTTGAATCTATACTAACTGAGGATGCTTCCAAAAAATAAGACCAATCATGGATTTTTTAATTTAGGGAAGTTAATTATAGAATTGTCCTATATATTTCTTTTTAAAACAATGGTCAGTCATTGTGGCCCCGCCCTACCCTTGTGGGTAATAATTTCTATATACTTCAAGATACACTACCTGATGATGATTCCATAAAAATATGAACAAACATGGCTTTTGAGTTTTACTTATTCATAATTATGTCCCTTTTGAAGGGGGCCTAGCTCTTCATTTGAACAAATTTGAACCCCCTTAACTAAAACAGTTTTTGTGGCAAGTTTTAATGAAGTTGGCCCAAAAGTTCTTGAGAAGACGATGAAAATGTGAAAAAGTTTACAGACTAACGGACAGACAGAGGGACATACAGACTGACAGATGGACAGACGGATGTCGGACAAGATGTGATCAGAAAAGCTCACTAAAGATTTCAGTTCAGGTGAGCTCATAAACTGCTTCCAAAACCAAACCTAATTCTCTTATTTGAAGATTTTTTATCCTACCAACTACAACACTGCTTGTTGAAATTAAATTTATATTTTTGGTCTACCTTCATTCTTTCTGTCTTGCTTTAATTCCAATTTCTCTTCTTTCCCTTGTTCCATTTCACTTGTGCTCGAGACAGGATCTAAAAATTTTAATTGTTCTTTAGAAGAATCCATTCATCAAGCATTGGAAACAGTCAGTTATATTTTCACCATGAATAAAGTTCAATAATTTTAATTTATATCAGTTTCATCGCATCCAGTTTTAACTGAACCCAAAACTTAACCTTTAATTTGGAGTTTTATCATCCAACCACCTACAACATTGGTTGTTGTCTTTTGAATGAAATTATAAGAATTCATATAGTTTGATAACTTATTGTTGATAAGCTTTGGTCTACCTTCAATCTTTCTTTCTTGCTTTCCTTTAAAGTCCTCTCCTTTTTCTTGCTCCATTCCACTTGTGGATGAGACAGGATCTGTAAATTTCATTTGTTCTTTTGAAGAAATCATTTATCAAGCATGAGAATCAGTAAATTATATTTACGCCATGAATATAGTACAAACGATATTCTTTACATTAATTTCCTTGAATAAATTTTAAACCGAAACCAAATCGAAAACTCTAATTGGAGTTTTATCATCCTACCAACTTCCTCATTGCTTCTTGTTTTTTGAATGAAATTAAACAGAATTCATAAAGTATGATAACTTATTGTTGATAACTTTGGATATACCTTCTATCTTCTTTACTTGCTTTCCTTTCATCTCCTCTTTTCCAGGTTTAGAGAGTCGAGATTCATCTATTAATTAAATATAGTTATATAGTTTAACTTGAAATCTTCCTCATTCTTATTACTTACTTATTTTTCTAAGTGAAGATATTATTTGTTTTGGATCTTCATTGTATTAAAATCTCATGAAGTAATCTGTGTGTGCTTACATTATTCTGTTCTTTCAGTGAGATTTAATGGGTAAATAGATTGAGGTTAGGATTGAGGTTAAGATTAAGGTTAAGGTTAGAGTTAGGGATCATTTGATATAATGGTTTATGTAAAGATTTCAGTTTGGTACTAAGATCACATACAAAGTATGACTTGAGATTTAAAAGAAATCAAAGAGTTTTTACCACAAATATATATATATATTGTGAATTAATTTTCAGTTAAATACAGTTGACGTACAGACGTTTTCAAAAGAATTGTTTATTCCAATAAATTCCCTTCATGGACAAAGTCAATATTTCATGATTCATATTATCGGGTCAAGAGAAGATATTTTTAACTATTTGCTTGTTTCATAACGCAATTTTTACACTTCAGATCAGGGTATTCACTGTGGTATTCAATACGGTATTACTTATATCTTCAACTAAAGTCATTTTCTCTTATCTATATCTCAAATTTTGATAATCGTAAAAAATACTTTATTTCTTATTAACTCGGTCATTTTTCATCCACATATTGAAGTTTGTTTTATTCTCAGAAAATATTTAAATCTCAAGCATTAAGAAAAGATTCCTTTTCCTCTATTCCACTTACCGGATTCTTTGATTTTCTTTGACATCTTCCTATTGTCTTGAGTAGTAAAATGGCGGTTTAAACGTACAAGTATGCACGTGATAATAAAAATAGAACTGACGTAAAGGTTTTAAAACTCTCTATGAAAAAAAATATATCAGTAAAACTGTACCTACAATTATCACGTGATTTTTGGGGGCATTGGCAAGATGCAACTTACCAGGAGTTACAATAAAAGCCCCATTACCCTACCCGTAACAAAGAGTCAAAGCTGAATCAATAAGCTAATAAACATTCTTTAGAGTAAGAGTTGTACCAAAATGTATGATAAAAAAGAGGGGTTAGGGAGCGGAAGGGAATTATTCTTGTTATACGAAATTAAATTATTATTTTTTTACTGTAACATTTCCTTCCTTGTGAATTCAATGATTTCTCTATATATCCAAACAAATGATTTCCAAGCAAGATTTGGACAAAAAGGTATAAAACCTAAATATGTAATAATACTTGACTCAAATAGATCAGTAATTAATCATCGATTTTCAACTTTAGAAAAAATAAATTGAGCTATAAAATGAACGATTCCATCGGGAATCGAACTCGGCACCCCTTAATCTGAAGTCCGCTGCTCTACCTACTGAGCCAAAGTGTATGATGGAAATAACAAAATAAACTTTGATACTTTGCTACACAAAGTATTAAGATAAAAAAAACAATAACCACGCCTACTGAAATCAGGATTTGAGATTCATCTATTAATTAGATATAGTTTAAATTGAAATTAACAAAATGTTCTTCTTCATGTTTATGTTAAGTTATTATTTGTTTTGAACAAAAGTATCATTATATGAAAAAATATTTGTTTTATTTTATGATCAATTTTTTTTATTTTAAACCAAAATTTAAGATGTTTCTCTATATGTTTTAGGTATCAAATTTGATTAAATGCAAAAATATTAAGATAATGAAGTATTCAGATCCAGCGCAATTTTCATTTTTTTCCATTTTAAAAAAAAAATCCAAAAGTTATTTTTACCTTTTCCACGTCTTCTCTCTCCATGACTTTATTGAAACAAAGATGCGCGCGCTGTTAGAAATCAAAAACGTTTTTGATGGCATATTCACAAATTCGCAGATGTCACAACCTTCACGTCAAGGTAATTTGTTTCTTTTTGGCTGATTTATCTTTAATTATAGTTTGCAATCAAAAGTTAAAATAATTTCTATTTCAAACCTTGAAATGTTAGAGGAGGACACACACACACACACAGGAGCTGACAGTAATGAATTCTAAAGTAAACAAAATAAACTGGGTGTGCGTCAGGAAAAACAAGTCGGGGCGGTCAAAACATCAGCTTTTTTATCAATAAAATATCTTTAAAAAAGTGGGATCAGATTCCATGGGGGGAGCATCCCCTGCCACAGCGGCACAAAAAAATGACCCAAATGAACAAATACGTTTCAATAATTTTATAATGGACTAACAATTGCTATGAAAAACATTTAGTCAGCATTTGACAATATCAGACGTCTTCTCTATAAATCGTGAAGTGATACCAGGACAATTTGACATTGACGAGATGACTCCGGAGCGATCTTCGTAAAACCCCCTAACCCTAACCCTAACCCTAACCCTAACCCTAACCCTAACCCTAACCCTAACCCTAACCCTAACCCTAACCCTAACCCTAACCCTAACCCTAACCCTAACCCTAACCCTAACCCTTTAAATTGCTCTTAACTTGTTATGATTTTAAAAGTTAACGAAAAATGGAAACAAAATGAAATTCCTGTTTCTAAACCCCCTAACTAAAGAGTAATACTAGCGAAAACACAACACACACACAAAGTTAGAAAAAAAAAATGGTCATAAATTAAAGGTTTAAGAAACCACTTTTTTTAATTTTAACCACCCTCATATTTTAAAAGAAAGTTGAAATTGCAAAGATTTGAATAAATTAATCACGTGACCCTAACATTTGATAACCAAAAAAAATTTTAAATTTAAGAAATCGTTTTGGTGTCAATTTTTTGAACCCTAACCCAAAGGATTAAATGAGGTTAGGTTTAACAAATGGTCAATAAGCTACCCTAAGATTTTTTAAACCAGTTTTTACTTTTTGTAATTTTTTTACCATTTTGTTTAAGATAATTCTATGACAACTTAAGGAGTGTTTGAAGGGATAAATATGTTGATACAAAGAAATTAAATTATAACTTAAGCATTTAAGTTTTCACTTCCTTTTGTGAATTCTTTAATTATAAATCAAAATTAAATTAAATGATTTCTCTATAATTAAACAAATGATTAAAAAAGTTACTTACGGTTAGGTTTTCAAGTGAGAAAAAGGTTTAAAACCTAAAAGTAATCCATTCCACTTGTCTGTTTTAAATTTGTGTGATATTTCCCTACAAATTTTATTTTGAATAAATTTTAGAAAAAATAAATTTATTCATAAAGTATGATAATATTTTGATAACTTTGGATATATCTTCTTCTTTAAATTTCATCTCCTCTTTTCCAGGTTTAGAGAATCGAATATCTATTAATTAAATATTATATAATGAAATCTTCCTAAGATTCTTATTATTTTAAGATATTATTTGTTTTGGATCTTCATTGAAACTTCATGAAGGTAATCTGTGTGTCTTACATTATTCTGTTCTTTCAGTGATTGTAAATGCAAAGACCAGGTTAGGTTAAAAATAAGGTTAATTAGTTGTTAGGAACTTTGATCATTTGATATAACACAAAGTACCCTAAGACAATTAAAAGTCAAATTTCATAACTAGAAAAAGAAATCAAAATTTACAAAAAATTTTTTACCCAAATATTCTAGTTTTCAAAAGAATTGATTTTTTATTCCAATTTTAAACCCCTTCATGGAAGAAAGTATAAAAATCCATTCTAACCAAAGACCCTAACCCTAACCCTAAAAACTGTTGCTAGTCATAAAATGAAATTTAGCTGTTTCAATAACGCTTTTCAATTAAACAAAATCTTTCAATATTTCATAAATGTATGATAACTTTATTTTTAAAAGGGGTCTAATTCAAACCCTGTAGTGAAAAATAATTTTTCTTTTGTATTTTTTTAAAGATTTGATAATAAAAGAAAGAAAAACTTGTATTCAAATGATTTCTCTATATATCCAAACAAATGATTTCCATGTTCAAGATTTGGACAAAAAGATAGTTAAAACCTAAATTTGTTTAAATAGATTGCCTGTTTGACTCAATATTAATAAATTTTGATAATCTAAAAAATACTTTTTTTTATTAATTCTTTCTTTTTTCTTTACAAACAAACATACCTCCAGGTTTTTTTGATTCCAAAGTTTTAGTCAAGATTTAACTTTATTTACAAAAATATTTCATATGGTAATGTCTAATAAAATTTCAAGCAAGAAACCCCTTCCTTTTCCCTATCTACCTACTGCCATTGACCAAAGTTATGAATTGAAATTTTTAAAACTTTGACACATCTTCCTAAAAATATGTCATAAAATGGCCCAAAATCTTGTTTGTTTTCAGACTGAGACAACTGAAATGCACTGATAAAAAAATAGGTGTAAAGGTTTTAAAACTCTCTATGTCTAAAAAAAATATATCATTGTTTAATTAAAACTTTGTACCTACAATTATCACGTGAACCAACTTACCCAATAAAAGCCCCATAACCCTACCCGTAACAAAGAGTCAAAGCTGAATCAATAAGCTAATAAACATTCTTTAGAGTAAGAGTTGTACCAAAATGTATGATAAAAAAGAGGGGTTAGGGAGCGGAAGGGAATTATTCTTGTTATACGAAATTAAATTATTATTTTTTTACTGTAACATTTCCTTCCTTGTGAATTCAATGATTTCTCTATATATCCAAACAAATGATTTCCAAGCAAGATGGACAAAAAGGTATAAAACCTAAATATGTAATAATACTTGACTCGAATAGACAGTAAGATTTTAATAAAACCTAAATATGTAATAATACTTGATCAGTAATTAATCATCGATTTTCAACTTTAGAAAAAATAAATTGAGCTATAAAATGAACGATTCCATCGGGAATCGAACTCGGCACCCCTTAATCTGAAGTCCGCTGCTCTACCTACTGAGCCAAAGTGTATGATGGAAATAACAAAATAAACTTTGATACTTTGCTACACAAAGTATTAAGATAAAAAAAACAATAACCACGCCTACTGAAATCACGTGACAAAATTTGACATTGACGAGATGACTCCGGAGCGATCTTCGTAAAACCCCCTATACCCTCTTTTTGCCACCCCTTTGGAGCAGTTTTTGGTCATTTCAGCGAGAGAGGTTCAGGTCAGGGTATCGAGGCCTATGAAACCTTTTATGCAAAGAAGAGTCCCTTTTCGTCCCAATTTTTTGACTACTGAGGACGTTGCCTTCCGGTCCTACCGGAATTACGGCACCTTTTCTTCAAATACCCATAGGTAACACGCCCTTGGGACTAGCAGGCTGAGCTTTGGTATTTGGATTCCTTGAAGTCTTCTTCATCTTTAATGTACGAGTTTAGGGCCTCTATCTCTCACCGTTTTCGCGCTATCGCCCGGAGAAAGAACTTAGCGCGGAACGCAATTTTACCTCGTCTCCGAGCATAACCCATTTTTGGGGCACTTGAGCAGCTTCTTGTTAAATCTCCTCGGCAACGTGCAGGTTGTGGAGATCTGACCACTTTAACTTGTCCAAATCCCTGTTTCAAAGTTTTTAAGACTTTTGCACATTTTTCGCATGTTTAGTCCTTCATATCTTTAGCAGGAGAACGCAGTTTTGCCAACTCTTTGCAGCTACCAAGAGTCCTTTTTAGGGTGTCTCACTGACATAAGAGCAGTGTGTCGATTGCATGCCATTCTCCAGATATTGAAGATTGAAAATGGTCCAAAATTCTCCATTTGTCAATTTCTCGGGTGTAAAAAAGAAGCTATTTTTTCTCTCTTTTGCTGTCATCTAAGTTTTATGTGTCTGAGTTAGTCAAGTCGTCCGTTTTCTTACCTTTCCAACGACACCAAACTCGTCCTAATCCGATAATAAATAAGATAGTTATGAGCTTCGGAAAATTCTACAATTTTTCTTTACTATTACTTCTATCCGTGACTTTCACTTTCCACTTTCATTTTCACTAATCCTTTAATCTCAGTTGACCTACTTGATCACTTAAATCCA